ATTTGCTTCAATGTTTCGGGTTGACGACATGAAAGTTCACGAAATCATGATTTTTGCGAATTCTGTAAGGAAATCCCATTTTCACATGTAAATATTGTCTGAATTGATTAAAACTAATAGAGATAATGTAGTTGTCGGACCGATTGACTTTCACTGAACTCTTACATAAAATGTTATAATGTTCTCAAAGGTTCTCATGAAGCGGATATGACAACCCTTTGTTTAATGGTGGTGATCTCCCCAGTATTGAAGGATTACTACCCCGAAACTCAGGTGCCATTAATAAAATCCTCTCTGTAAAAGATTTGAAGCTAAATTTTTACAAAGGGTAAAATAAGTTTATTTGAAATATCGCAAATGACAGGGCACCTCGTTGATTGAAATTTATTGGGATTCAGTTGAGAAAAAGCATTGATTCAGGCTTTTATGACCCTACCCCCTACATACCCCTACAAACATCATTTTCACAAAGAGATGAAGTAGATAGGTGGAGGTGGGGGGGGGGAGTCAAGAGACTTGATGCGAGTGTAAATAATGCCTATGCTCATACTATACCCTGCGCTCAGAGTCTAGTTATAAACTACCCTCTGCCTATTATAGACTATATTACAGTTTAGCAGCCCCACCCCAAAGATTGGTGCCTGTGACAGCCCGAGTCTGCAGTATCCATGCTGGCCCTTTCTCAACCAATCAGCGAGGTGGAAGGAACTCGTGCTAAATACGTGCTCATTAACTTTGCAGTGATATCAGAGGAAATGACCATATAGAAAGTCGTCCATATTTCCACGACAAACTCTGATTGGCTCGGTAAGATCAGAGATTTATTGTAAACTGAAAGAGTGAAGACGAAGCTCTCTTTTAGAAGTGAATTTGAACGAACGCAAAGAGTACTCATACTAGATAATTCCCAGATAAATGAATCTCATTTTTTGAGCATCTGTGGTGAGTAATAGTTGGGAATTATAGTATTGTGTTTATATTCATGTTTGACGCATCCCATCAATCTCCTCATTTTATACCTCTTCATGAAAATGAGAAATATTCATGGTTTAGTAATAACTCAATTTGTTCAACAATGCTACTCTTTGGACCATTCATGAAAGTTCATTAATAAAGACATTTAGGAGTAAGCCTATATATTTCATCTATTTTACTTGATTGATGGGCATTTTGGTTTTGCATTAATTGTCCCTAGTGTATATCCAATATATTGTCTTTTATATTTCACTCACTGTGGTGGTAATTTTTTAATTCACTGTGTAATTTTTGTGTCATCTATAATGTATGTGAGTGGAATAGAAATGTATTTTCGATCTCTTAAAAAACTACCATAGTACTAACATACTATAAGAAATTACTAGAAAGGTGACAACTTTTCTCAACTTGGTGCAAAATTCTCATTTTCACAATCCAGACCAAAATTGGTCAAAACATGCCTATTTTTCATTATTATTCTCATTTTCAAGTGGGTGCAAATGGATTTTCAAGTGAGTGGAAGCCTATTTTCAAATCTCATCTGGGTGCTGTGCCCACTTGCTTTAATGCTGGGAGATCACTACACATAATGAAAAGTTCTATGTCATTTTCATAAACATAGACATAAACACATACATATAGTCTAATACTTCCCAGATTAATTTTTGAAAATGACAGGTGCCTTGGAATCATCTTTTATTTACTGTTCAATTATGTTTTTTAAAAAAGTTCAATATCTGAAAAACATCATTTTATGTAATTATCAGATGCTCTCCTCAATATAGAAAGTAATAAAATATTATGTTATAATTTGAATCAATTTGGAAACAAAAGTTTGTTTTATTTACTATAGCTGTCCATCTGTTTTAAATCAAAATATAAATTGTAATGAAAATCAATGAACAACGAATAAAAATGTTTTATTTTGTTGTCCTTACAGTTTTTTCAATGCAAATCAAAGAATTTTTTTTTTTTCATTTATTCATCACGAGAAAACACGAGAAAGTGACTGATGACAACGCCTCAGGGATTTATAGTAGAGGCAGAGAGAAATGCTTTTTATAGAGCAATTGTTTGATTAATGTTTTCAAAATATGTTTTTCCAATCGATTAAGCCAGTTAAGTCTTCGTTTTCATTCCAGAGAGTTTTATGTACTTGTCTCTGTATTAAAGCCGAAGTAATGTCTACTTTTTCCCCAAGCTGAGTAGCAATATTGTTCTTCTGCCATTTGTTTTGAGGAATTCTAGATTTAAATTCCGTGAATCAATGTTAATTTAAGTTTTTATAAACAAGGCTTGTAACAACTGTTCCATGTCATTTTTGGAATTTCATGAATTCTAAATGTCACAAGTACAAGATAGCTAACATATTATTGAAATTAATCAATGAGTTGCAATTGTTTTAGAGGAGTTTCTAAATAGCTTTGAAATCTCGCTAATTCTCGTTTTTACATGAGATTATAAGAGATTTGCACTTTTTTCCTCTAATGAATTACTTTACTTTATTTTTGATAGTATAATAGGATTCAGTTACAAATTTTCTCCAATTAAAGTTTTAATTTAAACAGTTATGTCATTTAAATCATTTTCCATGACATTTTAAAAAACTTGGGCCAAATCTCCATTGGTCCAATGCTGAAATTCATTAAAACCTTGGTTTATTCGTATGGCAACCAATATTTTCATGGTTAATCACGAATATGTACATTGACAGGGTCATCCAATAGTATGCCATTCAAGTTTCAGACAGATTCAACCAACACTCTTCGATAAATCATGAAATTAAGTGACTGTTGCAAGTTTCTAGCATTGGAGGGAGTGGAGGTCTGGCCCTAGAAAATGAAAGACAAACAAGGGTGACATCTATTATGTCAGCACTTTTCAGCTATTTAGAAACTATACTATTGTGTTTCCTTATATTCACATTATAGGGACTTATTAGACTTTTATACTAACTTTGGTTCAGCATAAGTGAATAATTCAGTTCCAGATTGATTCTGGTCGTTTTTTTCTCAATGTCTTCATTTTTGTGTAACAAATGGCCAGTAGTGACATTTTGTACATTAGCCATATCTAATTAAAAATTGGTTAGTCTATCAAAATTATGTGTCAAAATCCGCAATTTGAAAAAAATCATAAGATAGCATGGGTTGTTAAAATTACAGTTAATATGGCGAAAGTAAACATTCCAACTTCTTTCTCAGCTCAGAACATCTTGAAATGGTTGACTGGATGCTTTGATGCTTACATACCATAACAAGAACATACCTATTTTTATTTTTCTGTTTCTTGCAATTTCTTTTTATTATTTTTATTCAAATGATTTTTTCCTCTTAACTGAACAAATTAATTAATCTGCATACATGATGATAGATATTCTTAATTTCAGAATTATTTCAGTTAATTCACAACTGATGACATTTACCATGTATAGGGATCATACAATCTAGCCATGAAGGAAGGTTAGAAGGGTTATCTTATATCATCAAGGTGTATCAACATATATCTTTAGGAAACAATTACAGCAAAACCTGTATACCCAAACACCTCTCTAACTTGAACACCTCGATGCGAATATTTTTTGTCATGTATTGAAATATCGTGTCTCCAACTTTTTTGTAGATGGCATTTGGCATTCAGTGTTCGGTGTTCGGCTTCTGTAACAAATGTAACAAATGGCAGGTGGTGATGTGATATTTTACATGTTAATGCCTTGTTTAATCTGGCATAAATTACCACAGTCAATGTGCATACAATTGTTCAAAAACTTTGAAATGTGAACATCTGCCAAATTAAACTCTTTTGGTCAGTCCCAGTAGCATTCAGATTAGACAGGTTTTACTGTACACCTAAACTATACAGCAAAATAAAAGATCAAAAGCAAGGTTACATGTCGATCATGAACTGGGCTAATCAGGTTAACATTATTTCAAAGTGTTCAGAAAATAATCCTAACAATCTATCGTGTGATCTCTTCATCATCAAGGGAACTTTTACCTTGCACTTTATTGGGAAATTCATTTGGTGCGTGCAGTGGAGAATTTGGTAAGAATCCCAAAAACTGAAATGGTTTGCAAATAATACTTTTGAAACCAGTTAAAAAAAGACACCAGTTAAAAAAAGACACTAGTGCTAAACAAAGATTTCCAAGTATCATTATGAGATGAAATAATTTCCTGATCAAAATTGAAGCTACCTTTTCCTTCAACATAGATTTTTCTGATATATTATTAGTTATTTTATCACCTGCCACCTTTGGGGTAAAATATCTTCCGCTATATTGACAAGAAATATGATCAGTATGACAGGATAGGTGATGAAGATGATCTTATATTAGTTCAAGAAAAGGTGTCTGTTGCTTGTCATGACCAGAAATTATTAGGTATCAAACATGATCTCTCAAAATAATTGCTACAAGTAACATGTTTTTGAAATGAAGATGTGAGTCATGATTGTGATCATGAGCAAGGAAGGGGAGTTAATTCGATTTTCTATTTTCAACAGTATTCGAGAGCCATGACTCTAACATATTGAGTATGTCATCACTGGTCAATGATGAGCTTCTAAGACATCTTTAATTATCTTGCCAGATTCAGTTAACTTTGATTTTGTGGAGGTTTTCTTACAAAAATTGAGGTAGCATCTGGCAAAGACTGGCTGTATAAGAAGATGGAGATGCCTTGAGCCTGTTTCGCTAATTTGTTACAAAAGACAATTAAAAATCAGAAATTGCAATTATTAGAAACCATCTCTGACTTTGGGTCGTCATTGTTGGGAGGTTACATTATATTATCTATCATTGAGTCATCTTACAGATATGTCAACAGTTATCTATGTGAAATTGAAAAGTGCTTGACACTTAAGTCCAGGAAGAAACTGTGGCATTGAAGTGAAGGACCCTCAAAAAGCTGATCTTCACTTCTGTTTCGGGAGAACCCGAGGCATTTAATGAAGTGAAGAGTGCTATGTCCAAAATAATTGATAACATAACTGACACCTTCTTAATCGGATTTTGTTCTTTGCAGGAGTATCTATTGATGTCAAAGGCGATGGTAAGATATCCAGCAATTTAAGTATTTGGGAAAACCTGGTCCCATAAGGCTTGCATATTATATCTGCTTAAAACCCATGCCTTGTTATAAAACAGCTGCAACATCTGATCTTGAATAATTACAGCTGCAACAGTTTTCATAAAGGATACCGTAGCTTATAAACCAGCTTCTTCTTACAATCATGAGTTCATAAGATCTATTTTCCTGGTGAAAGACCTCAGTGTTCAAGGTGCTTATTGATTCTATTGATTCATTGGAAGACCTTGGTGAAATACAATATTAATGTCCATTCTATCCCCTCCTCTAACATTCCAAGCTCTATAGGACTTCTTCTGATCTACTTTTCCCTCCCATCCCTGATCTAGTTTTTTTTATATTCCCATGGAAGCCGTAGGTATTCAAATTATAAAATTGGTTTAGCCATTAGGTCTTAGATATGTAACCTTTCCTGTAATTAATAAAGTAGCCTGAATGAATAGAAAATCTGGGTTTAGGTAAAAAAAGAGTATGGTACCTGGTGGGGTACTTGATACCTGACATAATTTGTACAGAATGAATATTTTGGAATTGGAAACGATGGGAATATTTTTACCCGACATCTCGGTGTCAAAAGAAATATTCTAATAAGGGGGAAAATGTAACAGTTCCCAGACCAAATGGCTTGCTTATAATTATGCTCCATCTCCCCTTCCCAAAACCAATGATTTTCGCCACAAATAAAGTATTTAAGGTATATAAGGTGTTTTTGATCAGATCTTTTATTCCATTTGAATTCTAGACGTATTACAGATATAAAATAGATATTTCTCAGGCCAAGGTAGAGTTATAATATTTACCGTTTTCTTATAAGAGGTGAATTAGATCATCCTATACTATCTTGGAATAAATAAAACTCCTACATAAAAGATAAAGCCTCTTAGTAAGCTAGGGGATAACAAATTATTGCAGTTTGCTTCATCATTTTTTCTTCCGTTTTTGCAAGTTTTGCCATTGTGCTTAATAATTGGTCCATTGTTGGGGAATGGTAATGATCTTTAGAGATAAGATTTCTAGTATAATATATTTTATTTAGGTATTTATAAGTGACTGATTATATGCTCAAACAGTGGCTGTTAAAAATCACAGCCAGATAAAAGGCAAGGGAGACAACTGTCTTGTCATCATTTTACAGGAAAATATTCCAATTAAAACTGCGAAAATGAAGTCTTAGGAGTATTATTTTCGAATTTAGCTCATATTCACCTCATCAATTAAAGCCTTATTTTAAAATTTTAATTTTGAAATGTTGATGCTATTTACGCTTATTCTTTGTAAACAGAGAAACTGCATGTTACTTAAAGTACATGCTAATTCTGATTGCAGCCTATTTTATAGCTGGTATCTTTGATTCCAAATGAAAAAAAGATTACCATGGCAATTCATGATGTTTAAGTATATATTAGACAAAGGTACCTATGTTGTATAATTACTTATTTTGCAATAAAGCTATGTAAACTATTATAAAAGAATTAACGCAGACTGGAGTGTAATTTTGCGCTGAAACAATCATGAAATCTTGCGAATCATAGCTCATTTCCGAAGATTATTTATTACTTTACAGAAAGAATTATTGCGACAATTATCTGTGATATAATAGCATACAGGTGATAAGGAAAATTTATGGGATGCTTTATATAGAAATTTCCTTTGCAAAATTGTTTGAGTTGTCAGGGTTTAATGTGAAACCAGAGAGAAATGAGCAAGAATTAATTGAAAATGAGTGCCATAAAACCTAAAATAAACTGTGACAACATGTGGAACTTTTGTTTATTTTTTTGTAAAGAACTAAGAAAGACATTTTTGTACCCTTGAATTCTTAGGTTATCTTCAAGGCAGTTTGACAAAGCTTGTCAATACGAATTAGATAACAATGGAATCCGGATGCAGTATCATTTAGAAATGATTAATTAGAAACATGATGTTCATGTTCTTTTTAAAAAAATATAATATATTATTTGCTCAAATAGAATGGTGATAGTTAGTTTAGTTATCAATCTTTTTAAATATTGCTCTATTTGACTCTAGCAATTTGTTGATTTAAATAAAGAATTTTTCTATTATTTCTGACATACTAATTTGACACTTGGATTGATGGCAAAATCACACGAATTAAGGGCTAGTCACGCTGTCAACAAATCACGAAGACAGGTCTTCGATACCAAATTGTGTGACTGTATAAATTCAATAAATAGATCGTGTTCCTTTAATCAACAATAGCTAATATGGTATTGTTCTTGACACAAAGACATTGGAATGTAATTGAATTCCGATTCCACTGATTATTTCCTTCATGAGACTTCTTCATTATATCTTTATATATTGTACAGTTGAACTTTTGTATATAAATGTGTGTGAATTTTATTATATTACATGTAAAATGAGTTCTTATTTCAATGGTAGCTTGTTGTTAATTTTATATAAGCTATATATCTTGAAGGCAAATTTAGAAACAATTTTAACACAACAGTATATTAATTTGATTTTTTGATTAGTAAAACAAATACATGTACATACTAAGTAAAGTATATATTAAAACCTGGCAAATCTGGCAAAACCATGGGATAAATCTTTCCAATATTTTTTTTCAAAAAAGCATTCTGATATTCTAAATTCTACACAAAAAACAAATTGCCTTCAATATATATGTGTCTTAATTAACAGAGGTTATTTAAAGAGTCATTCAGTCATTCACCATAAATGGTTTTACTGTACATTGTTAAAGTAACAAGCTGCATTCTGTGATTACTAATCACACATCGATAAAAGTTTAATTGATAACACGATTAGTTATCCTGAGAATTTACAACATTGATCGATGGCCAGGATTTTCCAGAAGGAAATGTAAGACAGAAAACAGATTTTTCTAAAAGCAATCAGCGTGTAGTTTTCAAGTTAACGGGAAATGTGTTTAGCTTATTATTGATTCTAATATAATTACAGAACACAACATTTGTAATCTATAACCTTATATTAATCATTCTACTTCAAGAGAACAGAGGCCAGAGCAAATATTGAAACTGTCGATGTCTGTAACGAGGATTTAATAATAACTGAAGCAAATGTGAATTTAGTAATTTTCATCCATCTGTGACTGTTTTGTACTCAATTTTTTTAAATGTTTTTTTATTATTTTTTAGATGTTTCAGAGCATTGGACATAACTACGTGAATACCAATTGTCCATAGCAGCAAGCACATTTTTTAAAAAAGTTAAAGAGTTATTTTCAATAACTATGAAACAATATGATTGTGTCGGCATTCAAAAACTTAGAAACTTTTTTTAGTGTAAAGCTTATATGTGGAAATCTTGCATAGTTAGAGATCAACTCTCAATGAAAAACATTGCTGGTAACAGTTATGTTCATTTTAAACAGATGTTAACATGAGAACTATATTGTTGTCTAATATATTTTCTGGAAATTATATTATTTACAGTCTATGTGTAATCCATGTACTTTTCATTGGTTAGGGGTTATTATATATATTTAAATGTTACCCTTTGTTCTACCATGGATCAAATTAGAATCTTTATAAAATGTACATGATATGAAAACTCTCAATATTATTTCAGCCACTGTATTCCAGTTTGCAATTATAAACAAGATTGTTATGACAAACTTTTTTGACATCAGCGAAGTTACCACTTCGACATCTATTAACAAGTGGCGACATTTATTGAAATGTCAACCAAACAGCATAATGACATTTTGAAAATGAAACTCATATGCGCAATTACTAAATTGAACATATTTGTCATTTTGAAAAATGAGGAAATATGATGATCAGTGTGTTACATGATACCACACATTAAGGAAACTTAAGGAATATGTTATTAGCCTTCTTCCAGTTTTATAGATATCTTCGCAATATTGTCTTTCTCATCATCTTAATGCACAATGGAGATTTATATCCCTGCGAGCCTTAATTATTGTCAGATGGATAAGTTGGCCTACCCTCCGTGAGAACTGGACTAATCTACCCTCTTCAAATTAAAAATGATTCTTTGATCCAGCCAACATCTAATTCCAATTTATTTTGTTATTTCATGAAATGTAATCTGATCATCAAGAATGTTGCTACTTTTCTGCCTTTTTGAACTCCCATAAAAATAAAATAATAAGCTATATTTGATATTATTAAGACCTTATCGATATTAAAACTGTAAATTCATATGTAGTAGTTAGAGGTATTATGACCAGCCAGTGGGGATTCAGGGTAAATGGATTTCATTTCTGTTCGTTTTCAAGTCATATGATTTCCCCCTGGATGAAACTATTAGCACCTGTCAGTTCAAAATGTGGCAGTTATCTTATTGGGAAGCTAAACATTTCTACTGACTCAGAATTCCCTATTATTTTTGGTTTATTTTGTTGCTTAGGGATATACGGTGACATTGTACTCTCTACTCAGAGTCTGTATTTAAACTAAGAGACAAAGCTTTATTTTAAGAAACGAAATCAAATGAATGCAAAGAGAAGTAAAATTGATGATAATCTACAAAAGGTTACATCTGCTCTCTGCCTCTCCCAGTTCTCAGGTAACTGTTTCTTGTCACCTTTCCCAGCACAGTTTTCATTTTTATTACTAGATTAGTACATATATATGTAATTTCCCATGTGATAACTCAGCCTCTCCTCATCCCTACCCCTTTCTCCTGTTCTCAGTACTCTCTCCATGTTTAGTTGCCCCTTTCTCAGTCACTCTCCTTCAATTATCAGTACTCCTCTCCCTTTCAACCCTCATATTATTAACACAAGTCTATTTTCCTCATTACATGGTCAGGGCTTCATAAATTGAGGCAATTATTTGTCACGGATATTGGATGGTGTATTAATTAATGTAGGTTGCAAATATACATTACTTCTATCAACTATGAATACATCTAACGGATGCATCCACATGGAAGTATCGCATTAACCTTATATAGGTGCTAATAAACATGTTCAATTTCACGTTAAATTTGCCTAAGAGAAAAGAAAATGTTGCCATTGCAAGGTTGAATGAGTAACGAAAGATTAGTTAAATTGTGTAATCTGTTTGCCGCTTTTAACCTATTGTCTTCAGTAAGTAATCATCTTTATTCAGAGCTAGGCGTAATGTGAAAAGACTGATGAGAATATTGTATTTTATTTATTAGTGCGTGTAGATTAGCTTTACTTTGATCAGGATTCATTTATTTCCTTAAGATTGGCGATCTGATATCCCTTATCTGTTAATATCTATAGACATGATCGAGAATTGGAAAAATGTATGGTAATGTCTGTATTAATTATACATTTATATTGTAGTTTTGATTTAGTATAGTTATTTTTACTGAGTATGACAGATATTGAAAAAGAAATTTGGTAATTTTATATAAATATACAGTTATTACACATATATATACACTGTATATTTTTTGATTTTGAAATGTGATTTGTGTTATTGTTTACTTTTTACGTTCCTACTGTGGCTGAGATTCCTCAATTTTCAGCAGTTTTCATTTGAAAAATTGAAAACAAAACCAAATGTATTTTTCAAAATGACAATGGTTTCAATTCTTATATTTCTAGATGTTAAGCCACAAGTTATCATCCGAGAAGTCCCTTCAGACAAAGCTGCAAAAGTTGGTGATTCTGAGAGTGTCCTTAAATGTACAGTATCTACGATTGGTCAGCATCTTATCTCCTGGACTGTAGAGGGGCGCCCTATATCATCAAATAGAAAAGTGGCAAACCAGCTTGAAAACAAATTTGAGATTCAAAGTAGTTATGATCTGGTTATAAAGAATATCCAGCTTGACGATGGTGGGAAATATGCTTGTAACCAGAACTCACCTGATATTAAACACATCGGCAGTGCAGAGTTAAACGTTTATGGTAAGCTTCAAGGAAGTCTTCTCCCTATTAAACAAAATTACATTTGTACCTAGGTTTAAATTAAAACAAAATTTGATTACTTTGATTGATTTATTTTGCTTGATATTAATAAAGTAACCAAAGGAGGAAAAGCTGTGTCAGGTAACCAATACAGAATGACGTTTCCCTTTGAAATCATTTTTCCATATAGTTATCATGTTTTTGTGCTATTATCATGTTATATTACTATAACCATATAACTATACTTTTATCAAATAACAATTATCATATTTTTGTACTATATATATATATCTTTTATTGACTCTTTAGATGTCATATCATGACATATTAGTCACTTAGGTAGATCAGTTCTTTCCATTGTCGAGTTGAAGAACTGGTATCTTATCCTGGCTAGATCCATAGACAATTCTAGCCAGCGCCAGCCTTTTATCGAGTTAGCAGCACTCTAGTAATCGCCAGTATATGTCATAAAGCTTCAATGCTATTATTATATCATTTTACTATTCTCTTGTTAATATACTTAAATCATGTTATATACTATTTATGTATTTCTTTATGAAATAACTATTATCATATTTCTAGACTTTTATCTTGTAACTACTATCATGTTATTTTATTATTTTCATATTTGTATATTATTATCTTGCTACTATTATCATATCATTGTTCTATTATCATGTTACTTTTATCATGTTTCTGTACTTTTATCATGTAACTGTATTATCATCATGCTACTGAACTATTATAATACTCCTCTTATGTGTTTCAGATGAGATTGTCTGTCCTGAGGATACAGTTAACAAAATGGAGAATGATTCTATTTCACTGACTTGTGCCGTTGATTTCATTGGTGATGAGAAATATGTCCCCGAGTTTGCTTGGGAGTTCAATGGGAAACCATTAACATCTACTGCTGCAGGAGAAAGGCAGGGAAGAACAAAGGTTATCACTTCAGGTATAAATGGCAGTTTTAGTTTTACTTTAATTTTGCGATATATAATATGAAAATTGTTGGGGGAAAAATATGGGTTCGTTGATGAGGCTAGATGATAAAAAATCTTCAAAAGGAGAAAAAATTGTCAAGTATGTGTTTAAGCTATATGATAAAAAAATCTTCAAAAGTAGAGAAAAAATCTGCCAAGTTTGTCGCGAGAAAGGGGTGGTTAATGATTTAATGTTATGCGTTTTTTTGTATTTTTTTGCAAAGCCTGTTCATGAATATGTAGTTTAAGTTTCATTATAAGGTGATTTAAGTTACAGACTTTTATCGTTATATGCTGTCCCAGAAGTATCTCTTGCTACGCTGTATTATATACATGTATATACCAGTATATACCACCTTCACCCTATGATTGGTGAAAGGATCCAGTTTCTCACCTTTGTTTTCAAAGTGATATGACTTGTCATCTATAATATGCTTTTAGGGAGAGTAGTATTTAATTGCAAGTTTGACATTGCTCTTGTTTTATGGTATAAACAACAATACATTTTTGTATCATTACTCCTGGTAATAATCTCATATATTTGCAAATATCTCTTTCTCGTTTTCTGTTTACAAAGCTTACATTTCCTTTCTATTGTAATATTTCATTGATAAATAAATATGATAAAAAAGAACTATCATATGATTTATTCTATTATTTTGCATGAAACAAACATGTATTAATAACCTTCACATGCTCCTCAACTAAATAGAAATCCCCCAAAAGCATTTTTACTGGGGGGTAACACTTTAAACTTTAACCTAATATTTTTTGACTTTCTCTTTCAAAATACAGAGATCCATATGATACTAGAACTATTCAGACATCGGGCATTTTTGTTAAACAAAGTCAAAATACTTTTTTCTTTTATTTTTCAAGAAGTTCATATTTTTAAAAAGTAAACCCAATCTCCGTATTTGATAGTCAGTCCAATAGCATCAGGTGCATACTCATCTATCAGATACTCCCACTGAAAGTAAGGACTACACTGGTACTTCTCCTCTAATTGCTATTTTGTGTGAACACCATTTTAACAGCATCTATTTTATCTCGATAGACTGATTGCCAATTGTAATGACCTCATTTATATAATACCATATGTTGTACTAACTGACCACTGACCACATGTACCCATATGTATCATCTTACCAGGAGACATCCTGGTTCATCAGTTATACGAATATACACCATGAGTGAACACACTACATCTTGTGCTTGTCATTATTATATTCTATAGACTCACATCAATAACCAATAACCAATCAATATCTACCGATCTATCAGATCATTACAATGGCGACGAGGAGTAACAGCATCACGTTCCCACCATTTGACATCCACCAAACCAACGCATCCACCGCTTGGAAGAAATGGATTCGGCGATTCGAGACGTTTCTAGTCGCTGAAAACATTACCAATGCAAAAAGGCAAAGAGCAATGCTATTGCATTTTGGAGGTCCTCAACTCCACGATTTATTCGAAACATTGGGAAACACTGGATCGGATGATGACTTCGAATCAGCGAAACAGAACCTCTTGGAGTATTTCGAACCAAGGAAGAATATTGACTTTGAAATTATATCATTCAGGCTGCTCAAACAAGAAGAATCGGAAACCATCATGCAGTTTTACACACGCCTGAGATCACAAAGCGTAAACTGCGACTTCAACGACCAGGAGGATATCGAGGTGAAACGGCAAATCATCGTCGGCACCACTGATGACACCTTGCGAAAAAAGGCACTAAATCCGTCAAACAATTGGGACCTCAAGAAATTACTGGACTATGCCAGGTATCAAATTCAATCATCCGCTCAAGCAGAGGACATAACAAAAACCACAAAAGAGGACGTTAATGCCCTACACAAGCAGGCATATCGCCAAAGGAATAACAATGTAACCTCAACCACCTCAACCAACCAGAAATCATCTACCTGTGGACTATGCGGCGGACCGTACCCCCACACATCTACATGCCCAGCAAAAGGAAAGCACTGCGGGCAATGCGGGAGGATGAACCATTTTTCGAAGATGTGTAGATCAGGGCAGAAACCAGCCCCTAGCCAAAGCCAGAAGGTCAGACAGGTCACTGAGCACATGGCCAATCCAGACGAAGCACCCATTAACCCGTCTGCAGACTACGCATTTCCTCTCAAATCCTCACCCAGATGCCCACATATCACCCTGAAATTGGATAACCTGGATATCAATTTCCTGCTGGATACAGGATCCTCTGTTAATGTGATCAATAACCAGACACTGCAGAATCTACACCCAGAACCACAACTGGCACCAATCAGATCCCCTGTGTATGCCTTTGCAGGAAAGGAACCCCTGAGTTTTATGGGAAGCTTCAAGACCTCCCTTAGCTATGGAAGCATAACTATTACTACCACCATCCATGTTATAGATGACCCCTCTATAACACCCATCCTATCCTATGAAGCTGCAAGACAGCTGGAGCTCATCAACATAACCTACAACCTCAACCATGCTGGGACACCCTCAGTTATTCAGGATATCTTAAACAACCACAGCTCCATCTTAACGGGAATAGGGAAACTAAAGGACAAACAAGTGAAACTACACATTGATAAAACCGTACCCCCTGTTGCCCAAACACACAACCGAACTCCCTTTCATCTTCGTGGAAAAGTAGAGGCTGAAATCGAAAGTCTCCTATCACATGATATCATTGAACCAGTTGACGGCCCCACCCCATGGGTATCACCTATCGTTATCGTTAACAAGAAACAGTCGGATCAAATCAGAATCTGTACTGATATGAGGTCCGCGAATACCGCCATCATGAGAACACGTCATTTCACACCCACCATGGATGACATCATACGCCAGGTCAATGGCGCGACCACGTTCTCCAAAATTGACCTCAATAAAGGATATCACCAAATAGAGCTAAATCCTGAGTCACGGTACATTACCACGTTCCAGACGCACTGTGGCCTATACCGCTATAAAAGGCTGAACTTTGGAATATGTAGCGCCAGTGAGGTTTTCCAGGATCTAGTGCGTCAAGTCCTACAAGGCATACCTAATCAAATCAACATCAGTGACGACATATTCATATTCGGAAAAACCACTGATGACCACAATCGTGCACTGAAGGCTGTACTACAACGCTTGGATGAGAACAATCTCACAATAAACTCCCAAAAATGTGAGTTCAGCAAAAGTGAAATATCATTCTTTGGACACCTATTCACCAAAGATGGCGTCAAACCTGACCCCGTAAAAGTGGCCTCTATCCTAAACATGGCCCAACCTACCAATGCTGGCGAAGTTAGATCATATCTTGGAATGATCAACTACTGCGCTCGATTCATGAAGGATCTAGCAACCATAACCAAACCCCTTCGTGACCTCACCCTGAAGCATGTCAAATGGACATGGACCCCCACCCACCAACAGGCTTTTGATGAAACCAAAGCCGCCCTCAAATCTGAAACCTGCATGGCTTACTTTGACCCCCAGTTGGATACCATAGTGCATGTTGATGCATCCCCAGTTGGACTATCAGCCATATTATCTCAAAATGGTAAAATCATCCACTACGGAAGCAGATCCCTGACCCCCGTTGAAGCCAGATACTCACAGACCGAGCGTGAGGCCCTTGGTGCATGCTGGGGTATAGAATCTAACCGTCTATATCTGCTTGGAAAGCCGTTCACCATAACCACAGACCACAAGCCATTAGTCCCCATGTTCAGTAACCCTGGAGCTAACCCCCCTCCACGCATACAAAGATGGATGCTGAGACTACAGGACTATACGTTTACTGTTGTATACAAACCTGGAAACAACAACCCTGCTGATTACCTATCCAGACACCCCCTACCCACATCTGGTAATGAGCAATTATCACAAATCGCAGAGAGCTATCTGAACCTAGTCTCTGAGTATGATATACCCAAGGCCATGACCTTAGCTGAGGTCAAATCAGCCAGTACCACTGACCCTACCCTCAAGTGGCTGCGTCAGATAATCGCGTCCAACCAGTGGCATATCTCACAACAACCCCCTGATCAAGCTGTGAACCTACGTCACATGGCAATATATGCCAAGGTGAGAGACGAACTATCTGTTACACAGGACGACATCATCATAAGAGGAAACCTCCTTGTCCTACCAGAGAATCTTCAATCCAAGGCTATTGAATTAGCACACGCAGGTCATCAAGGAGCTACAAAGACAAAATCGTTGTTGCGTACCAAAGTTTGGTTCCCGTACCTTAATGAACAGGTAGAACACAAAGTTAAAACGTGTATTCCCTGCCAGGCAACCACAACAAACCCTCCCCGTGACCCCATCAAGATGAGCGAGCTACCACCTGCCCCATGGACAAACTTATCAGTTGACTTCTCTGGACCCTACCCATCCAATGAGTATGTCCTAGTTGTAAAAGATGACTACTCAAGATATTTGGACATTGCTATAACCACAAGCACATCATCAAGAGCAGTTATACCCAAAATGGACAGAATGTTCAGCTCTTTTGGAACACCCCGCAATCTGAAAAGCGACAATGGCCCACCCTTCGATAGTCATGAATTCGCCAAATTTATGACTCACAATGGAATCAATCACCACAGAGTCACACCACTCTGGCCAGAAAGTAATGGCAGCGTTGAGTCAATCATGAAAAACATCAACAAAGTAGCCCAGGCAGCAATCGTAGAAGGCCAAAACTGGAAACAGCAACTATTTAGATGGCTACGTAACCACAATGCAACACCCCACTCTACCACTGGAATATCCCCCTATGAAGCTATGTTCAATCGCAAAATGTACATAGGCATCCCTGATCTTGGACCTACCCCAAACCCAGAGATTGACCACCCTCTCCGCACTGCAGACCAAAAACGAAAGGCTGCAATGAAAACAAATGCCGAGAATCACAGGTCGATAAAACAACATACCATCAAAGTTGGCGACAAGGTACTTTGCAAGAACACCAAGAAAGGCAAACTTATACCAAAATATATCCCCAAACCTATGACAGTTACCAAAGTCAGAGGAAGCACTATCACCGCCAAGAATGATGACATCACACGAACAAGGAATTCATCATTCTTCAAACCCCTACTACAAAACCCTGACCCAATACCAGCATCTCGCCAACCACCCCAGCCTCAGCGTAATCAGGAATACCACCCCAATATCCCATTAAGAAATGAGGAGGATGAAATACCTGAACAACACCAAAGATATCCCGTAAGGCACAACCGCGGTGTACCCCCTCATAGACTCTGAAGCTGATACACAATGAACTTTAGTTTGACCCAGTTCCATGAATGAAATCTGAAATACTATGGAATGTTTACAAACATTGACTTTTACTATGGAATGTTTATAAACAGACACTTGACCACAGAGTAACCCTCATTATCATAAGTCATGAACTCTTGAGATTATTATCACATCAGCTGATCTACCAGAAACTATCTATTGTTATAGTGCAAATCAGCAAAGTGAATTACCATAATCTTTATGTACAATACTGTTTATATTACTGCTATATCATAACTTATATTATCTCTATATCATAAGTTCAAAACCTGTATATGTATTTTCTAATCTAAACAAAAGGAGGGATGTAATGACCTCATTTATATAATACCATATGTTGTACTAACTGACCACTGACCACATGTACCCATATGTATCATCTTACCAGGAGACATCCTGGTTCATCAGTTATACGAATATACACCATGAGTGAACACACTACATCTTGTGCTTGTCATTATTATATTCTATAGACTCACATCAATAACCAATAACCAATCAATATCTACCGATCTATCAGATCATTACACCAATTACCATTGTTTTTAGTCCTGTCAATCTGACTCTGCTCTCTGCAGACTATAACCATAGTAACGATTGCACTTTGCACTCCAATTATTTCCAGTTTTGCATTTGGAGAGTCTTTTTAGTTCAGTCTTATACACAGCCACAGGGAATGGCTCATGAGTTATCTTACATGGGGTATTTTACTTAATCTTTGGGGAATTGTGCTCTAGACTGAGTCAGTAATGCAAATGCAACAAAATGATTACATATTTAGAATGTTTTGGGACATTCTTTTTTCTTTGTCCGATCTAGTTTCCAGGATTGAAAATGGTCACTCTTTAATAGATAGCCTGCTCCAATTTACATGTTTTAATGAATTTATAAAATGCTTTGTAACCATGTTGATTGATGCTCACTGGAGCACATTTTGTTTTTTTGAAGTTCATTCCTGAATACTCCACTATTTGTAAATTACAGGCATCTCTCTTGTGGCTTTGCCAGAAATGGATGGGGGAATCATAAGTTGCCACTATAAGATAATGACGTCATCTGAGGGTGTTATGATGGCAGATAGATGTCGCCGTAATATTGTTGTTCAATGTAAGTTGATTTAGTATAGAGAGGCTATTTGTAGGGGGTCATCCATCGAACCACAGCAAGGAAACACCATGCAATTTGATGCAAAAAGGGTTTCTTGGTTTGCATTAAAAACATTTTGATTTTCCAAAATAATTTGATTATCCCCCAGAGTGCCTACTATAGTATTTTGGAATACTGAAAGGTTATTTTGTTGTTAATCGGTTTGAGAGCTCAGTTTTTGACTCAAAGCTTGACTCAAGATTCCTACCCTTACACCCTACTCTCATCCATGCAACGTTATTCATTTTAATTTCCATCTTTGCCATTAATATTATTAATTTAATAATGGCATATACTTTTTCATACTCATACTTTTTTAATAATGGCATTTTCATTTTCATACTCAGGAAAAAAAAAATTGAAATTGAAAAAGGTTCCATATTTATGTTGTAGATGCTGCAAGAAAGCCATCTATTATGGTTAGCTCTGATGACGTTACTGACCGCCAGAGGTCATGTGACATAGATGAACATGTGACTCTACACTGTGCATCCAAGGGTAATCCAGCCCCGAGGTAAGTCCGTTTCATTGAGGTTATGGTTCTCATTGATGCTTATTTTGAGGTTCTCAATAAGTAGTAGTTTAGGTTCTTATTGAGGTCAATGCGGTTTTGGTTCCCTTGGATACTTAGAGAATGAGGTTTATTTATAATAATGTTCTGAATGAGATGTTGGTTCTCTTTGAGATTAACTACAAGGTTTTCAATGAGGTTTTGCTGCTTATTGAGGTTTATAATGAGGTCCTGGATGATGTGTTGGATATTCTTATGAAATCCAAGGTCTTTCTGACTAAAATTGGTCAATTTCTATCTCTCATCTCTTCATTTAAACAAAATAAAGAACAGTTCGGGTTTTAAAACAGTGACTTCATGTTAATCATATCTCCATATGTGGAACAGGTTTGCAATACTGCACAATCAAGAAGGTGGCCTCAATAGGTGAAATGTAACTTGCAATATTAAATTTATGTTTATGTTTACAGATATACCTGGACTTACAAACAACTGCAAAGTGGCTTTGATCCAGAAACAACAGAAGAACCTGTTGCCAAAACATTGAAATCAAATTTAGGTTTGTTTAATTTATTAAATTCCCAAAATTGTGCCTCTTCAAGAAGTTTCTGGATCTGTCTTCCATGAGTAAATGCGTAAATAACAACCGTGTATATAGGTACATACACAAAACGTATTGCTCATCTGCATTGGTTGTAAACAAAATACAATACAATACAATGCATGTACAATTCCATAACATTCCATACCATACCATACAATATAGTACATGTGTACTCTTTGACAATAATATTGTAAGGCTTCTCAGAAAAAACATAACTGTTGAGCTTTTGTTAAATAAATACTATCATGTGTTTTATAAAAATATTTTGAATAAAAATGTGAGGTAACACATGCTCAAAATGCAGGAAATAATTTAATTCCCTTATTAATAATTTCAGGAGTGTTGGACTTGGGTAAAGTGAACAGGAACCATACAGGAGTATACACATGTAATGCTATTAACATTCACAATAGGGCCATAGTGAGCTCTGAAGTTACACTAATGGTACCAGGCTCGGGTAAGCAGATTTCGTAATCAGAGTCGTAATCAGTTTTCTCACAAAAAGATGAAAACAGAATGCAACAAAACATTACCAGAATTTAATAGTGTAGTATTTATATTGATGAGAAAAGGAAAAAGAGAAAAATATTAATTGGCATAGAAATGATCTGAAAGTGTACTTGATTAATTGATTGATTTCGTGATTTGTGAGAAAAATGGTTATGATCATTTGATTTTTTGATTTCTTTTCGTATATCAATTGATATTAGATATTAAATTCACAATTGCATGCTAGTTCAGAATTTTGATGTGACTGATTTCTGGATTTTAGTGACTTTATGTCAGAAATAACTGATTTGGGATTAGGGTAAACTCATTGCATGATACTACAACTGAAAACTTGTTTGTGCCATGTCAAAAATTATTAATATCGGGTTTCTTTCAAAATGTTATCGTTAATTCAAAGTGGCCAAGGCTTTTTTACTATATTGAGGCTAATATATATTAGTGGTGTAGGAACAAGTCATGCAAATATGCACATAATGCTGAGAATTAAAACAGATTTTTTGCAATACAAAAACTCATGTTTTAGCTCTCGTCAGAATATGGAATACTTTAATTTGTTTCTTATGGCACTGTTTACCTGGCAGATTGTTGAGGCTTTCAATCTTTGGGTGATCTGGCAGAATGATATTTTGAGGTGCAGCTAACTTGAGTGATCAGCTGTTAATGTTATAAAACACTAACATTTGTTTGTTTGCTTCCTTACAGGGAGGCGTAGTGGTGCTGCAGGTATGTAGGCTTTAGGGTGATAGATAAATATTCAATCTTATAGGTTGATCTAACTCTTTTGTCTATGAAGGGAATACTTTTTCCAAGCACCGTTTAACCCAATTGTTTCCTTTCAAACACCCCAATGAATTTTTTTAATCAGTCAATGTTTCAGAAAACTAGAATTACTAGTCATATGATGTTTACACAAGTTCAGAATATTAGGATAAAGCATCCCCATTCCCCCTCCCCATCCCCAAAATCTAATAGTTGACTTCTTGTTTATATAAACACCTTGGAAATGTTCCTGGATTTTGTTTACGATTTTTATGGAACATGTTGCTTTTCACCTCATTCTTTGAAAAATTGCTGAGGAATTGAAATCAATAATCAAAGACAGCGGGGAGTGGGAGGCTTAGCATTATATGTACTAGAAGTCATCTGTAGTAATTGTAATGCCATATCATGGAATGTAGCATCCATATCATGTAGTTACAATAAGTACATGTTGGGGATTCATTATAGTATAGCCATTAGCCACGCTTTTAATAATATGCTAAATAGGTCATGTATATTCCACTACCTTCCTCTCTTTTAAATCATTGACTGATTTTCTAAAATTTCTAAATCATTGGAGATATCATTACATCCCTGTTCACTAAATTCCTCACCAATTTCTCCCTTTTTCACCATATTTTGTTTTTCAAACCATGAATGTGTGACATTCTCGTACAGGTGAAATGTTATATGATAATGGGACTATATTTTTAGCTGTTATGTGGCATTAATCAGTCTTTCATTCCGTAACAAGATAGAAGTGCCAACCTGTAAACTATATATCTGATCATGTGATGTGATTTCAAATATTGTGAAATAAGGAGAAATTGCAGAGTAAAAAGGTGAAGAGGCATGAAATCAGAAAAGTGACTCTTTCCGAGAGGAAAATCGTAAAAAACATTAAAGGCTAGATCAATGATTTTATCTTCAGGTTCGTTCATATAAAATACATTATATTACCACTATTGTATTTTCCCATTACTATTTAGCATTGTTGCGAAATGATCATTAGACACTAATCACAAATAGACACTAATCAGATATGTTCATTTATTTGTTTCATTTTATTATTCCCAGTCTGTTATTTTTCATTAGCAACCACAACAAGTAAGATTCATTTCAAGTATTCTCAGTACAATGTGATATGTATTCATTATAGATTTGATTTATTGATTTGTAGTTGTTATCTTATGAGTTGTTATCTTATTAGTAAAATATATTGTGTTTATTTTTTATTATTAGTTTGTATGATGATGTATTAAGCATGCTGCAGTATGAACTATTCATGAACTCCCATATTTTACATAGAGTGAACATATTTTTTATATGAATGGATATATTTGCTATGTAATTTTCACATTTTTGTGCAGATCTTTTATTAGTGAAATTCGAAACAAAATGGAATATTATTTTTACATTATAGTAAACTAAGCCATTACATAATCTTGCTTCAAGAGCCTGACCCCCCCCCTTGTATCTACTATAACAACAGGATGTTGAAGAGTAGATACAAGGGGGGGGGGTCAGGGTCTGAAGCAAGACTAGCCATTATATTATAATAAAGGAAGTCTTGCTTTTGTAAAAAAAAACATATTCATGGGAGTTCATGATTTAAATATTGTATCGAAAACAATGTTGTACTAATTAGTGTTTTGCTTAATGCTTGCATGTGACATCATTTAGAGTATGCCATTTCATATTGATTGATACTGATTTGATATTGATTATGTACTTCATTAGAGGTCCAACTTCTTACTTTTTTTATCAAAATTAAATGTTAATCAAACTTCCAAAATTAAATCCCATTTTTCTGAATTATATGACTAGATGAGTGAAAATATGTTACATACAGGCATATGTTCTTTGATAATCTTTACACATTATTCTGTTTTCTCTGTATTAAAGTATAGTCAGAATGACTAAAGGCTAGTTTGTGATCGATCACAGTGCTATTGTAAATTAAAAAATCAAACATATTCCACAGAGCTATCTATTGTATATCTCATATAATCAGTATAATGTGTTGCAAAGCTATGGTCTCATCCATATTAACTTTGTCTTTCTTCAAAAATAACATGGCAGAGAAACATCAGAAATTTTATATTTATTATCTTATCTTGAGATAGATGGCGTATATGTATGGAATCTCCAGTCAATCTTAGGACATGGTTTTTGTGTATTTCACATATCTTTCTTTTTCTGCTTCTTGTCATTGGTCTTGAGTATGTGACCATCTGCTTTACATATTTGTAATAAGTTTTGGTTTTTCAGTATTTTTTTGTGAGATATCAAAACATAAAATACTAAGAAACTTACCTATGGAGACATATTGTACATATACAAGAACTCCATTTCATTTTATTTTTAAGTTATGATCTTTTATATAACGAAAATCAATTAAAATGTGTATATGTAACATTGAATATCTATATACTTAGAAAGCCTGTGTGTCTTTAAAGTGCAAACAAATTGTATTAAATTTCCTTTAATGTTTTTTGTTTTTGCAGCTGGTAGCACAGCAGCAGTTGCAGGTGGCGTCATAGCTGGAATCATCATATTCCTTGTGATCCTTGCTGTTATTTACTATCTCATCAAATACAGGAAGAAGAATCAAGGTTTTTGCTTAATTCAAAATAAATATTTTCTGTATTGAATTTTTACCAACTTGAGATCATATGAAATCATAGCTTGTAGCCAATGTATAGTTTATAAATTTGCATCGAATGATTGGAGTTTAAAGCAAAATAATAAATAATCATAGGTCACCACTTTTGGTTGTGATATAAAAACTGAAGCATGCTGGTATTATGGTTACTTGTGTATTTATTGAAGAATCGATTTGTTTAAATTGGTTAAGTGCAGTTAGATGACATTTTATATTGAATATGATAACAAAAGAACAGTCTATCATTTTTAAATTTTTATCTTTGTCTATGTGAGTGTGGTTTCTAAGAAAAAACTGCAAATTTAAATGTCATGCCATTTTTGTTCCAGAACCAGCCAGTCGACCAACACTTAAGATCGGTTCCATGGATGTCACAAATCGACAATTCACATGTCACTCCGAAGACAAAATTGGCATAACTTGTTTTGCTTGTGGGACACCAGACCCTGAATTTAAATGGTCGTATAAAATAGAAGAAGACTACTTCGAGGATATCACAGAAAAAGGCACAGCAATTGGACAAGTTTCTGCAACAGGTTTGTTTATGTACAAGGGTTGTCCCAGAAGTAATGCACTATATGCTCTAACTTTCTTAATATCAATTATTGATAAAGTTAGAGCATATAGTGCATTACTTCTGGGGCAACCCTCGTATACATACACTGGATAAACCCTATGCAATCCTGCAACTGGGAGTAACAGTTGGGTAGAATACTTTGGGTTTAGTTTGATTGTCTATCTCAGAGTATAACATGTACATGTGACATCAATGACGATTATAAGTGAATACCAAACATGTTCCATTACAATTCCATTAAATTACACATTCTGATTGAGGTAAGCTAATTTATCAAAGACCACATTCAAACCATGATTAGCCTGTATAACTTGAAATAATCATTTTAAACTATTTTTCAGGTCATCTATTGATTCTTGGAGATGTACACCAAATCCAAGCAGGAATATACAGATGTCAAGCTAAAAATAAATTCAATGAAGTTGCAAAGTCCTCAACAGTTACTATCAAATTATTAGGTAGGTGAAGCTCTCATTTCAGAATATTTGATTTCAAATGCTTCTCCTTTAATTTTTTTTATTTTATTAATATTTGACTGGATAAAAGTATCTTTTCTTGATGTTTCAAATAAAGTATAAGTATTTTATAGAAATCATATAGAAATCAAACAAGTCCACTAACACTGGTGATCCACTCGATTACGCTAGTTTTGGTAACAAAATGTCGGAACATCCGGAAGGTACGATTTTTCTCGTTTCCTTATTTGACACTTTGTAGGCCGAATTCCCACGACATTTTTTAACACAAACATGTATCAGTATCATATGTTTAAGAAAGTGTACATATTTGCGAACTAATAGTTCAGAAGACAACAGAATCGTCGATTTACCTCCTCACTATTAAGTTACATAAACGGTTTGGGTTAAAAGTGCAGATCTTAGCTGTCGTGGGGATTCTGCCTGCAACGCGTGAAATAAGGAAAAAAGAAAAATCGTGCCTTCGACGTTCCGACATTTTGTTACCAAAACGGTTCGTTTTGGTAACCAGCGTAATCGAGTGGATCACCAGTGACTAATACACATAACACATTGCCTTAACTATGATACCACAAAGTAAACTCACCGCATTAGGACTCAGAACCACAACATAAGCACTATTGAGAGTAGCTTATATAAAAAGTGAAAATGTATTTTGAATATTTCAGATGCTAAACACGATGAGGAAAATCCTCCATCAGACCATGCCACATATGCTGAGGTTAGCGAAGCTCATCCACTCATGGATGGTGAGTAGATGCTTAGTTGTACAATCAGATATAGGAAGGACTTTGCAGGCAACTTTTACAATTTTTTCTTGTTCTTGACTTTCCAATGATATCAAATTAACTAATGATTAAGCACTATATTTAAACCAATTCTCATGCCACCACAGGAAGTGGTGACATATTGTTAGTCTCCAATTTTTTTGTGATTAATGAACAAAATGATGTATAACATGATAGGGTGTCAATGCTAAATGTATGAGTTTAGAGAGGGGTGAATACATATGGCACACCCTGTACATAGCTATTTACACATACAGAATAAAACAAACCAAGTGATTTTTAAAGAAATAATTTTAACATTTATCACATAATAGATATACACATGATTAATGTTTAAGACCAGGATATAATCGAGGGCAAGATTTGCTCTATTTAATTTACATCATGTAGTTGTTATATTAATCATAGTTTACACCCCAAGAAAACCTCTGACCAGCCAGGGTAAAAAGTTGTTCATTATAGGGCTTGAAAAATTTCCTCAATTTTAGTTTTGTTTCTTCGGAAATTTTAGGATGGGACCTCCCCTTTTTTAAACCCATACAGCTGGGCTCTGTTTCGTTATATTTGATAAAGCAGCGGAATTTAGGATTTTCAGGGTTGATAGGGAATCTATCCTCGGAGAAAAAATGATCAAGTTTAAGGAGTCGTTCAATTTTTTGGAGTTCTACCCATGGTGTTTTTGCAAAATTATCACCATCGACTAAATGTATGCTTTCTCGGGGGAAAACTAGTAGCCATTTTGCAAGTTCATTAACATAAACACTTCTTTCTATACTGTTGTTACAGTCATTGTCCATTTGAATTGTCCCATTACTGCTACATATATGCTCATCAAAAGGCTCATTTTTGTCTTTTTCAAGGACTCTTTGTACGTATCCAGATATAAGTCGATCTATGGGATCACGGATGACGATCAAAAATTTCACGTTTCTTTGTTGATATGCAGCAGCCATCCTTTCCCTAACTATCTGATTTGAATAACACATTGTTCGTTCAAATATTTTTTTATCATTTGAGATATTGGGAAAATTAGTTACATATTCAGCATATCTGTATGAGATTGCACAGAAACCTTTGTTCGGATTTTTGACTTGATGAATCTGTGGATGTCTTGAAAGCCAAGCAGTTGTTGTTCCTGTACCTGCTTTAAATATTCCAATTAAGATTACATCTGGTAGTCTTTGTCTTTTGATGCCAAGCGGTAATTTGTCAATCTCTTCTCTTTCCTTCTGCACACGGGTTTTTATTTCTGTTACAGAGTAATCTTTCGTGTATATTTCTTGAATTTCATCAGCTGTTAGACTTTTTACAGCAGCATCAATAATTTTGTTTGTCCTGACTTTTTTAAGAGCAATGAATTCATGCACAGCTAAACTGTACATAAAAGTTAAAACCAACACAACTACAAGGACTATGACCACACTCCTAATTCTGAAAGGCATTCTGAAAGGCATGATTGATCCAAATATTAACATCGGGATAATGATATATTTTAGAGAACATTATTATTTAAACTTTGGAGTACAACTATTGATTTGACATGTGACACATGTTTGATCGGTCTGATGTTTTTTAAATGTCATTCGTATATTCTATCTATTAATTAATATTTTTTAACATTATCTAAACTTTAAAGTATTACTATTGATCTAACATATAACATCTGCATGATCAATTTGATTTTTAAATGTCATTTTGATGTTCCATAAATTAATGGATAAATTAATGTCTAATTATTGCCAGTTCATCATGAATGGCATCATTCTTTCAACAGTGCGAGCCTGCGACACCTGTTCTCTTATTGGTCACTCATATAACAAGTGACTAAATACAAATACAGGCGTTTCTGAAATCCATATGATGTATTTTTGAGGCTATATCCACATGATTCAATATTTACATATTATTTGGGGCTTTTGTCTTGTTGGGTCTTACATATAAGACTTGAAAATTAATAGTTCTTCTTTATGACTACAACACTGCAATCAAATATAAATAAAGTAATATTCATTGGTCCCCACCTGGTTATAAAGATATTATGTCTTTATATCAAAATGGATGAAGTTCTCTAGGAGGAATTTTGTGTTTTCATCATTTTCACCAAAAGGAGGTCGATTTGTATCCAAATATTTTACCCTTACATTAATAGAAGCAACCAGTTACGAATCAGAGACAAGTATATACATGTACATCCAACTTTAGCCTCCAATAATCGAGTGAGAATTCCTCTATTCAGCAACCATTCTGACTTGATTATTGGAGCTGCTGGAAATATTTGCTCATGACCGACACGGATACAAATCAATCTCCTTCTTGGTGAAAATGATGAAAATACAAATTTCCTCCAATGGAAGTTCATCCATTTCATTATAGACGTAACCAGGTGGGGACCAGTAAGCTCTTGTCATGAAGTATTATTACAATATCCCAATTTCGATCAAATGTGGTGGTGAATAGCCACAATTTACTGTCTTCCTTATCGTCAATGACAACAGAATCTGAATTCCAAATAATAGACGTAACGTCTTTATTACCAGGTGGAGACCAGTGATATTGTGTATTGACATACATAGTTCATTTTGAAAAAAGGCCTCACTTCTGTGAATTCAATTCATGATCATTTTTAATTATCCCATTGTAGATGAGTGGATCGTTAATGTTATAATTATGGTGTTTATAATTTGACTCACTTAGGCAACAATATTTCCTTAGTTGCTGTTTTGCCACTTAAAAGGGTTATAGCTGGAATTCTCATTTTCAGTAACTCTGAAATATTTTAACTGATAATGATCCGTAACTTACACAATCAATTGACTTGGATATGCGCCATCTTATAGTCCTTTAAAGTGGAAGTTGATGTTTTAGTAATTTGCATTAAATTGCAGGAGCAGGAGAAGGAGAACACCCAAGTGAACCAAAATATGCAACTCTCAGTGAACCCAAGGTTCCCACTAAGCCTAAAGGTAGGGCAATGTAAACAGATTATACCATTCACCCAAGAAAGGATGCCAAAAAGCATCCCTCCTTCACAGATGAATGAGAATGAAATTCTAAATCTTGAAGAGATCTTTGCAAATATCACTTTTTAAATTTTTTTTTTAACATTTTTTGTTTTATTTTATTTTTTTATATAAAATCAAACTTTATTAATAAACATATTTTACATTACATGCATACAATTAGATAAAATACAATTATAGAAATTTCAAGTAACATTACATCTCTCTGATCATTATTTCATTATCAAAAATAGCTTTTAAATTACTAGCTGTATTGACCTTTTTTTAAAATCATGTATAGCTTTTTTAATTACCAATGTTTTAAGTAAATCTTCTTTTTTAACAATTGCATTTCCAATGTTTTGATCATTTGTAACATTTACATCATTCCAAATTGATTTAATACAGTCACAATTGATAAAGAAGTGATCAATGTCATCTTTTACATGTGCGTTACAAAAGTTACAGATGTTTTTACATTTTACATGTCAGATAATTCTGTACCAATATCTATTGATGTTTACTGTAGGAGATCATTTAATGATTATACTTGAAATTGAATAAAAGTCCATATAAGTTTGAAAATATTTTTATTGCATATGTTTTGATCATTTTGTTTCTTTGATTTATATTGCAGAAAATAATAATGCAGATACAGAGCCAAAGTATGCAGTTCCTGATAAATCTAGAAAAAATAATACTTCGCGGAAGCACTCAACAAATGTAAGTCACCCTGTATTGTTTTATAACTCTCCAAACTTGTGAGTCACCCTGTATTATGATGATGTTGAATTGGGATTTATATGCACTGTCAACTGCTTGTATGTTTAGGCGTAACGTTGGCATCATGATGTTCAGTGTTTTGAAGTATATACATTGCATGTATTAGATGTGTACCTAGGTTAATGAAATGTGTTGAGCAAATGAATTCAAATCAAATTCTTCAAGTCAATAATCCAATTCAGAAATATTTGCCAGAGGAAAATTAAGATGTGCAGATATATTGTATATAGCATGATTTGGCTAAATTAAATTTTTGACCACTTGTTCTGAAATCCTTTTGATGTAGTAGGTAGTTGGGCAATACAGTACTGTTGTCACTTTGCGAGCTAACTTGTTTTTTAAAGTTTCTTTTGTGTGAAGTCCAAGACATGAATGACATGCTATTATATGTTATAGCACCCTTTTGGGGGCTATATTGTAATATTTTTAAGCCACTTCATATGATGCGAGTGCTCAAATTATATCACTAGAAATATTTCGAAACTAAGATTATTTAGTATGTTAATCCAAGTACACATGTCCATGTGCAATGTAAATCTAAAAATATAAGCATCTTGAAATAACCTTTGAATTTTTCTGGTTTCATAAACTGAGACATATAAATTATACATTCTGTTAAAACACTAACATCTTGTTTGTTCTACAGTGTGAAGCTTATAGATTACTTGCATAAAGGGCTCCACTTGAAAGCTTCTAGTGTAAGAAAGCTTGTTATATGGGTTAGTTGGGTCTTAAATGAGATAATGGGGTCTAAATATTTGTAATTTGGTGGAATTTGATGCTTGTAGGCAATAGGAATGTTTTCCTTTATATTGTAATTTTATTTGTTTTCTTTGAAATGTTCATACCTAAATATTGTAAATACTATACCACTCTTATCTCTTTAGCAATTTTGATTTTTCAAATGTTGTACCTTGATTTGAATACTATCTTGATATTATTAAATACATGTACAGGGTGACCCAAAAATGCAACCCTTCAGTTTTTGAGTAATTTTTGCGAATTATGGCAGAATGTTTTTGGTCACCCTGTTTCAGATATTTTATTGAACTGGCATTGTGACTGAATGAAGAATTATATTTTCTGATTTCTTAAAACATTTTACAATTTACATATGTTTCTTCACTAATTTATTTTAATTTTAATTTATTTCAAATTAATTTTGTATTTATATGTTGTCCTGTCACCCTTCCAGCCAATAGTGAATGCAATCCTCGAATCATGGGTTAATCAAAACTTAGATGTTAAAGTATGCTTTTTATTATCCTATTAGTTCCTCCTGAGTTAAAACATCCAAAACTTGAGCCTTATTGGCGATTTCAATTACTTGATCGGATTGGAGTTTACAGTGTTCTTCTTGAATATGAACCACAATCCTTCCAAGTTTCAAGAGCATTAGATCTTGGGAGAACCTAGCTTTTCAGTCAAGTAAATATATCCTATTGATATACATTGTAAAAAGGAAAAATTTGGCTTGGGAATTGGTATTAATTATTAAATAAATTGCGAATCATATTTGATAAGGAAATATTGTTCTGTTTTGAAAAGGAGTGAAAATGTTTTGATAATTTTTGAAGATGTGACTGAGAGTAAAAAGGCTAGGTGTGGTCTAAGGCAAGATCTAATGGTTCTCTTCATATAATGGTGATTGGGGTACATGTAGTTAACTATAGTGGTGGAAGATGTAGATGTAGATATACCTTATTAGATTAGTGGCAGATTTTGTTAATTACCCTACTGCTCTTATTACATAAGTACTATTTAGATCCCATTTTACTGTGCTGTAGTATTATTATACTGAAGCAGTATCATCAGTTCAATGAGTAGCCCAAACCACATATATACATGCCATGATGCTGCAAGGAAGTTCAGGTACAATGGGGTCTAGATGGTGCCAGAATGTTAGGTTGGGGATGAATTATACATTTATACATCAAATGAATATTATCTCCCTTTAGAGGTCCCTGTGTATAAACCAATTAAGAATTTGGAGAATTGCATATTCTTTTTTAAGTTCTTCCAAATGTATGTTACTTAGGTAGCATTCAGGAATTCAACTGCCAGCTGATGGTTTAACCTACTTTTGCTAACTCTTTTAAATGGAATAGCAGGTACTATTCATATCTAAATAAGTTGTCCAAAATTGTTGGTTAATCTGATAGCTGACAGTTGAATTCCCGAATGCGACCTATATCCCGCTATCATTAGAGAGTGATACTTCTATAAAAGGTCCTGTCTTTGAGCAACTATAAGTGACAACATAATGTAATGATAAACTGAATGAAAGTATTTAATGGTTTATTTTAGGTTTAACTAACTGCCATTGATCCATGTGCTAAATGTTTTAAACATAAACAGGTAATACTGCTTGTTTGTGTCCCTGAATTTCCCTTTACATGTATCAGAGCATATACGCTACTGCTATACTCTTTGTAGGAAAAAGAAATCTTTGATCTGTTTAGACCAATCACAAGCTTTAACACTCATGTACTTATTTCATAATGAAACAGTTGTTGTGATTGGTCGTATTTGTTGCTGAGCAATACAAAGCTGAGTATCCAGTTAATCATTGGTTGACCAACTAATTGATTACCAGACTCCATAAGGTTGAGTTGCCTTAGCAACAAAGACAGTATCATATATGATTTTGCTTTCACTTCTGCAGAGTATGATCGTAGCAAACTTCTGAATACAGCCACAGGGTGCTTCAATCTTAATTTTTGTGTCCCGAAGTATTAGGCGTGTCTGATGTATCACAGATTTTGACACTGACACACCTGATCTTGTCTTGACACATCTTAGATGTGCACATTAACAAACAGTCACCTTAGCATTACCATATTTCTAGGTCTGTACACGTAAAATTCACAGCTTTGAAAGATTAACAAATTCAGTCTATACCTCCTAAATGATATAGAGTACAAGAATGTATAAAATGAGTTTGGGGAAGGGCTATTTTCCAGATATCTTGGGAATATGCAAATCACTGTCTTTCTACTTTTGTAGATATACTCGTAATATTATTATGTAACAACACAATATACATGTTTTGTCATTTGTGAAATTACATAGCTTTTAGTTATTAAATACATGTTTCTTTTCTATAAACTATCATCTTTTATACAGGGTGTTCCAAAAGTAACAGGACTGGTGCTGGCATTTTGTTGAATATGCACCAATTGTCTTCAAAATTGTACATGAGATACTTTCATGTATTGTTACTAAAATTGCAAAGTTTCGATACAAATTATGAAACTGGGGTAGAGTTATGGTTGCTATGGTAACATGACATCACAATACCCGGGGCAACATTCCACGCAGAAAGTTACAGAGAATTTAAGCATTTTGTACGAGGGGTGATCAATAAGTAATGGACGCTTTTTTACACAGATACTTTTTATAGACCAATCCCTTTGATTTTCCTACCAGTGATACATCATTCAATCAGACAAAATATATAATACATATTGATATATCCTTATTTCCGTGAAGGAGGTACAGGTACCCCGGGACCGACATTTACGTCACATATTCAGTTTTTAGCCAGTTTGGTAAATTTCAGTTAGATTTGAACTTTTTGTATATGCAACAAGTGTTGTGTTATTTGAAATTTTTTGCTGACTGGTAACACATAAACAGAAAGTATTGTGATGTCAGAGTTTTGTATGGAAGGGATTTGCAGGTCAATTTTAGAAAGCATTATGGAAGAAAGGGTTGGTGAGAGAAGGGAACACCCTACTCCATATGGACAATGCACCTGCCCACAGAGCTCAAAATGAATTCAGAAAACAATATCCCTGGACCTCAAAATTGAGCCCTTTGCCAATGCACCATATTGTCAAGATCTGCTCATATGTGACTTGTTTATTTCTATACTACTTATTTCTATAGAGAAAGGACGCAGGTCTATTGACATTGATGAAATAAAACAACCCGTGCAACTGCATCTTGCTACCATGTCAGAGAATGGATTCAGCTTTCTCTCACAATCTTGAGTTAAGAGGATGAGGAATTGTGTACATGTAGCACTTGATGGAACCTATTTAGAGGGCCCTGTGGAATGAATGTGGCATGAATACCACGTAGTGATGATAAAATATTCAAAATCAACTATGGCAAAACAAAATGGGGTAATTCATGACCATAATGGTTTGTTTTGTTCAGCCTGCATTCAACTGCATTGTATGTTAAACAAGCTAAAGCTTCAGAATATGTGACGTAAATGTCGGTCCCGGGGTACCTGTACCTCCTTCACGGAAATAAGAATATATCAACATGTATTATATATTTTGTCTTCAAATCTTCAGAGTTGATAGATAATTGAATGATGTATCACTGGTAAGAAAATCGAAGGGATTGGTCCATAAAAAGCATCTGTGTAAAAAAGCGTCCATTACTTATTGATCACCCCTCGTACATCCCATATCAAAGTTAGAATCGAGCAACTGGTGGGAATTACATTTTTGCTAAATACATCATTTGATATTTCTATGTATCCTCTACTTTGAAAAGTAGGATCCTCTTGGGTTAGTACAAGAGTAGCACTCAGTATCCATGACTCAAACACATGAGTGAACCCATTTGATGACATGTCATGCAGGGTCGATAGGACTTGGAGAAGGTCATTCTCATCTTTAACTATCTTACCGCGCTGATTAGCATTCCATTCTCCATATAAAAGTAAAAATGAGATATTGCATGATCAGGAGATTATGGTGCATGGTCTTAGACTTCAAGACCTAGCTCCGCTATAGTGCAGTGGTCTTTAACGCTGACTTGCAGGCAGGCGCCTTATCAAGTTGGATGACTCGCTTCAAATTAGGTCTTAAAAACTCAACAGTGAATTGTGAAGACTGTTATACATAATGATATTTCAGGAAATTGAATAAATATTATTATTATGAAATCATACTTGAATCTGAGTTTTATAGCAACATCATAACTATAAAGCAACTAATAAAACAAACAAGAAATGTTGTATTGCAATTGTAATATGTGAATTAGATACTTTCATCAGTTATATAAAAATGTTAGATACTACATTTTCATGAAAAAGTTGCCCCGGGTGTTGTGATGTCACGTTACTATAGTAACCATAATTTTACCCACATTTTATAATTTTTTCTGAGACTTTACAAGTTTAGTTGGACTACGTCAAAGTACAATTTGTGAAAATTTGAACACACTCTGTGCAGAATTGACAAAATGCCAGCACCAGTCCTGTTACTTTTGGAACACCCTGTATATATCTTTGTTGTGTCTAATTAGCTTTTATTATTTGATGGTGGTAGTAGTAATTATGTCCATTATGTACGTAAGGTTTGATATGCATTAACTATCTCTAATTTAAATTAAAGGTTATCATTTTATAAACATAATCACTCATCAGCTTATATGATTTTGTAATAAACTTTTTGCTTCCAACTGTTAACTGTTAACATGTTTTGTAAATAATGATTTTATATTAAAATGATTTATGAATGTTTCATATCAAGGAGACCTGGCAGATCCTATTATTCATCGCAAATTCTTATTCATTATCAATTATTTTAGTCAAGTCTTTAGTCAAAGAAAAACAATATAATTTTCTTCGGAAAATAACCAAATATTTTGAAAAATGTGTTGAAGGAGGGTCCTAATCCATGTTTTAAGAGTTGAATTGATAATGTTATTATCCAGGGGACCTCAATGAGAGGAAAATGTCTTACTTTGAGGAGACTGTTGAATTTGTGTTGAGAAATTTCTCATGGTCAAAGATATTAGATAAATACTGTCTAGAATCACTTACCATATCATGGCTTTTAGATCTTTCTGTTAACTGAAGTGTGAAATAAATCTATTTAGCCTCCTTTTCCCTGAGTGACTATCACTCTTGTTGAAGATTGTTTTGAGGGGGTTGTTAGTAGACATTTAAAAGTATGATACATTAAACTTGCCAATTTTTTGTGTTCAATCATAGGATTTGCCAGTAACATGCAGTTAAAGTGTTATAACATACTTGTATAGTTAAGTTTCTTACTTCCAGCCCAAGTCTCTAAATGCTGAAGGCTTACAGTACGCAGACTTAGCTCCAATCCCAGTGTCAACTGATCCTCCAGTGAAGCCCCCCAGGGCTGTGTATGACAGTAGAACTCAATATGCTGAAATTCAACCCCAGCCTCGGGTGTAGCATATTAATGATGGGACCAATATTCTCAAAAACTTACACATATACAATAATGGACTGATCTTTCTACAAGGAGTGTTCATTTTTATAAGAGGAATGTAACTTGA